TATATACAATATCTTTTTTTTATTTTAACAAATAAATACCCACATCAAAAAAAATTTGTAATTTAAATTTATTTTTTTTTTATTTTTTTTTTTTTTTTATAAAATTATTTTTCAATTTATTTTTTTATAAAAATTAAATTTAAATTTAAATATAATTTAAATATTATAAATAATAAATACAAGTTCGTTTATTTTATAAATAAATATCAAAATTATAATAACTGAACAAATAAAATCTTTTGATTATTTTAATTTATTTTTTTATTTTAAAATAATAATATAAAAAAATCTTGTATAAATATTTCATTATTTATAAATAAATATATTAATTAAATAAGAATAGTAATAGTAATTAGTTTAAATAATAAGAATTAAAATCATAATAATAAAAATAATAATTTAATACTATAAAATAATAAAGTATTAATTTATAAATAATAAAAAATAAAAATAAAAAAAAGAAAAATAATAAATTAATATTATTTGTTTATTATTAATAAATAATATTTTCAATATATATAAAATATAGTTAACAAAAATAACAATATAATACAAATAATTAATAAAACAATAATTTAAAAATGTCGTTTCATACACCATTTTTGACATCAATATTATTAACTGGAGCGGGATCAAATTCAAGTGCATCAGCAACAAACAATGAAGATTTTGTTGGTTTCGAAATTAAAAGTTCTAAAGGAAAAGAATGTGGAAAAGCAGATTCTTTAGGTTTTAGTTTTAGCTACAACTCTTCAACCTTTAATAATATTTTTAATAGTAGTGGATCATCTGCCGATAATGACTGTGATGAAGATGACAAAGAAGACCAAAATATAATATCCATAGGTTTTGATATAGTGTGGGATATTTTATCTCCAACCGAGCCATTTATAGATTTAAATACTTGCAAAAATGTAATTTTTTTTTTTATTATTAAAAATATAATTAAATAAGTTCTAATATTCTTATTTACTTTCTAGTTTTTTAGCTCAATTCTAAATAATTTTTTAAATAACTACATATAACGCCACCTATATAATCTCTAAAAACAAATAATGTATATAACCCTCTAAAATAACCAATATATCAGTTATTTCTCTGTAAATAAAAACTATAAAGCGGTACCGAATTAAATTTAAAATAAATTTTAAAATAAAATTTAAATAAAATAAATACTTTAAAATAATAGAACCATTAAACTATTTTATTATTAATATTTAGTTTTTAATTAAACTATAACTATATTTATTTATTTTTTTGTTGTAAAATATATAATATTTTTAAAATAATTATAAAAATTAATTTAATTTTTATATCATATTATTATTATTATTATATATAAGAATATTGCTATATATTAAGAAGAAAGTTTATATAGTGATAATAACCAATGTATATTTTAATTATTATTACCATTATAATTAATATTAGGTAAATATTGTCAACACATTGAAAGTGTATTAACTTTTGAATTGCTTAGATTTGTAAATGCCAAACCGATTGTAACTGAACAATTTTCGCATACTCTAACTCTTTCGAAATAGCCCTTAACTTCTCTTTTCTTTTTTGAGCAATTACCACAAAATAAAAATCCACAACTTCTACAATGATGCTAAAATAAATAAAAAATAAAAAAAAAAAAAGTTAATTTATAAATTTTATAGTTAATATTTTTAAAAATATTACTTACTCTTCTCTTAAAGAATGTAAATACAGATTGGCACATTGAACAATTATTACTTGATTCGTCAGGAAACCATAGAGCCATACCATTTGGTGATACTGATGACTGTTGAATATAACTTGGCTTGTAAGCTGGTAACTGTGTTGTTGATAAATGTCTATTATGATGGTGAATATCTGCTCCACCGCCATCGCCACCATTGTTGCTAGAAATTTTAATATTACCAACACCATCATTTGAAGGATTTATACCACTATTATTATTATTATTATTATTTTTATTATTTTGAGAATTTAAATCATCTATTTCTTTTTGTAAATATTTAATAGTTTTTCTTAATTGAGTTTCACTATATCTGACGGTTGCTAAATAACTAACTATTTTATCTTCAAAACTTTTGGACCAAGTCGAAAATTCAAACAATTGTTTTTTAATGTCCTCTTTTAAATCTCTATGATTTTTCTTTACTGATATTAAATTATTTTGAACACCTGAAATATCTTTAATTAAAACTTCATAGTTTAATGTTATTGATTGTAATTTTTGCGAATATCTTTTGTTCTCTATTTGTTTATTGCTGTTTAATTCCCTATCAACCAAAATATTCTTTAATCCTTGAACCCAGTAATGCATTTCTACTTCACTACCGGCTTTAAATTCATAAGTTCTTTGTGGAATCTTTATTGTGAAAATCCATAGATGTAAACCACCATTACCACTATTATTATTGTTATTACCATTATTTGCTATACTGCCATTTGTGGAGCTTGATAAATCTTTACCACTGTTATTTATATTACTTGTACTATGACTGAGTATATTATTACTATTACTATTACTGACGCTAATGCTACTTGCACTTAAACTATTTGATACATTTGAAGAATTATTTAATTTCAAACTATCCAAACTATTTTGATGAGTCAGCACACCGCCCGAAAAACTTTTACTAATATTAAAATTATTACTACTATTATTAATGTTATTATTACTACTACTACTATTTACAATTGAATTATTTACAGAATCGTTTGAACTATTAAAATTTGATGAAGAGTTTTGATGAGATAAATTTACAGACTGATGTAATTTTACACTTCCATTACTACCACCCATGTTACTAGTGCCACTGCCATTACTTGACATACTACTCGTGCTAACTGATAGATTTAACTTGCCACTACTTTGATTTATTGAGCTTCTTTTATCTAGAGGAGTAGTTATATTATGATGCTGTTGACTAATCTGCTTATCGGCCAATCTAATCTCTAAAATATCTTTTATCGGAATTAAACCCTTTAGATCCTTTTTATCTTCACCTGTATAATAGCAGATATTCTCCCCCTCTTTGCAAACCCAACGTCTCTTCCATGTAAAGGATAAATATTTTCCAAGCTTATCCACATAACCTTGTAAAGGAGGTTCTGTTGAACCCATTGTTTATAAAAAAATCTATTCCTTTTTTTTATTTATATATTTTATATATTTGATTAAAAAATATAATTTATTTTTTTTGTATAAATATTTTAATTTTATTTTAGTAAAAAGTGATTAAAAAATAAATAAAAAAAAAAAAAAAAAAAGGAAATGTGTTAAAAACAACTGTCTTTTTTAAAAAAATAAAAATAAAAATAAAAAAAAATAAAAAATTTCTAAAAAAAAAAACTATTAAATTACTAATCTATTTATTTTATTTATAAAGTATGATTTTTTTAACTATAGTACTATGATCAAAAAACAATTAAAAATAAAAAACAAACAAATAAAAAATAAAACAAAAAGAAAAAAGAAAAAAGAAAAAAAAATTTTTAAAAAAAAAAAATAAAATTTTTTTTGAAATTTTAAAAAAATTAAAAAAATAAAAAAAATAAAAAGAAATATATCCAACTCAATTTTTTTGGATTTGAATTCAATACAAAGAAACAGGTCTTTTAAAATAAAGTAGTTTCGTGTGAAAAAAAGGTATTATTTTAATGATTTTTTTGGTATTGAAAAATAAAGATGGACCATAAATGACTCCTCATCAAAACTCTTCCCATGTCAAGTTTTTTATTTTTTATTTTTTTTATTATCATTTTATATCTCTTCTAAAAGGGCATTTATACAAATATATTACAATATCACACATTTGCTTAATTGAGCTTTTTTTTAAATTTTTTTTTTTTTTTTAAATTTTTTTTTTTTTTTTTTTTTTTTAATTTTTTTTAATTTTTTTTTAAAATTTTTTTTTAAATTTTCTTTTTTTTTTTTTTTTTTTTTTTTTTTTTTTTAATATTGAAATTCATACAGTTTTTTTTATACAATAATTATTTTTTTAGTAATTTTCTATTATTTTTTATAATTTATTATTTATTATTTAATAATTTTTAAAGATTATTTCAAATTGTATTATAAAAAATATAAAAAAAAATTAAGAAAAAAAAAAGATAATTTTTTTTTTTTTCATTATAATAATTAAAATAATAAAAATAATAAAAATAATAAAAATAATAAGAGTAATAACAAAATCAACAACACATTAATAATATTATAGCAATATCAATCAGTATTATTATACGAATTAAATTTAAAACATATATTTTAAATTAACAACAACAAAAAAACAATAACATTAAAAATAACAACAAATAATTATTATTTTAAAATAATATAAATATACAATATAACAATATATATTTAATATAGTAGTAATAAATATTTAATCAACAATGGGTGTACCAAGATTTTTTAGATGGGTTTCAGAAAGATACCCACAAATATTGCAAAAGATAATTGATTCCACTCCACCTGAATATGGTATGAACACTCCACTTTAATAATACAAGATATAGAAAGAAAGATAGTTTTTTTTTTTTTGGACTGTATAGTTAACTTTTTTTTTTTTTTTTTTTTTTTTTTAAATAAAATAATAATAATAATAATCAAATAAAATCAATAAAAAATAACAAATAAAAAAATAAATAGATAATTTATATTTAGATATGAATGGTATTATACATGCATGTTCGCAAGAATTCGCTAATAGTTTAATAGAATTTTCCGAAGAAGAGTTAATTCGTAAAGTTTGTAATTATGTAGATAGATTATTCCATACTATTAGACCAACAAAACTTTTTTATATGGCGATTGATGGTGTTGCACCAAGAAGTAAAATCAATCAACAAAGACAACGTAGATTTTTATCAGTTCACAGAGACGAAAAATTAAAACAACAATTAATTGCAGACGGAAAACCAGTACCAGAAGTTATTTTTAATAGAACTGCAATTACACCAGGTACTCAATTTATGTATAATCTATCCGAAGCACTTCAATTTTATATTAAAAAGAAAATTTCTGAAGATTTAAGTTGGAGAGAAGTTCAAGTAATTTTTTCAGGCCCAGAGGTATGAATACAATAGTTTTTAAAATATTTAAAACTTTTTTTATAATAATAATTTTTTTACTAACAATATTATAATTTAGAATCCAGGTGAAGGTGAACATAAAATTATTGATTATATACGTAAAAATAAAGCAGATCCAGAATGGGACTCGAATCAAGTAAGTTGTTTATTTTATAAATTATAATAAAATAATAATAATACAAAATTTATATTAATATATATTTTTTTCTCTAGTCTCATTGTTTATATGGTTTAGATGCAGATTTAATTTTATTAGGTTTAATTACACACGAACCAAATTTTTCAATTTTAAGAGAAGAGATTTCATTTAAACCCACAAAAAGACAATTGGATTTTCAATTACTTCACATTTCACTTTTACGTGAATATTTAGAATTAGAATTAAAGTGTGAGTTAGAGTTTGGTTACGATTTGGAAAGAATTATCGATGATTTCATATTGATTATGATATTTTTCGGTAATGATTTCTTGCCACATTTACCACTCTTAGAAATTAGTAAAGGCGGGTTAAACAGTGTTTTTGAATTGTACAAAGAAGCATTACCAAAGCTTGGCGGTTATTTAACAGATGGCGCAACTATCGATTTAGATAAATTACAACAATTTTTTGGTTATTTACAAAAGTTTGAAAGAAAGCAACAAAATCATTTACTTGGTCAAGAAGAAGAGGAAGAAGTTAAAGATGTAGTCAAAGATTTAGTTAACGATTCAATACTGGAACATGATGGTCTCGAAGAAGAAGCAAGAAAAGAGTTTGAAAGATTAGCAATGGAGCGTATAAAGAGTCATTTCAGTATGGATGACAATGAAGACGAAGAAGAGCATGTCATTGAAACTTCAGAAGACAGTTATTACAGACAACATTTCCCAAATTTCCCAAGTGGTTCAACTCAAGAGATGCAAAAATTCAAAGAGAGTGTCGTTCTTTCATATGTTGAAGGTTTAGTTTGGGTTCTCAATTATTATCATAATGGTTGTATCTCATGGACATGGTTTTATCCATTTTATTATGCACCGTTAGCTATCGATTTTAAAGATATCCCATCATTAGAAATTAACTTTGATGGTGGAGCTCCAATTACACCATTCCAACAACTTTTAAGTGTACTTCCACCACAATCAGTTGATTTAATTCCAAAAAATTATCAACGTTTAATGCTCGATCCAAATTCACCAATTATCGATTTTTACCCAACTACTTTTGAAATCGATACTAAAGATCCACATTACTTTGACGGTATTGCTGAATTAGGTTTTATTGATCATCAACGTCTCTTGGATGCCACTCATCAAGTGAAAAAGGATTTAGCCGAAAAAGGAGAAGAGGTCTTCTCTGAAGAGGAGAAACAAAGAAATTCAATTAAAAACTCTGTAATTATTTATCATGATAGCGAAATGGAGCCACAACACGTTAAATCACCAAACTCTAAAGTTTTCCACGATATTGAACATTCAACAGCTATCATTGAAGACATTGTATTACCAGTATTTGAGAATGCATTAAAACCATTCCGTTATTGTTCAGATGTATTAACAGGCACCCAATCACCATATGGTTTCCCAACTTTTAAGAGTTTAGATTACACATGGAAGTATCAAAACAGTGTTGTCGATGTTTGGGGTATGATGTCAAGAAAAGATTCGCTTATAATTATTCCACCAAATGCATCAAAAGAAAATAGTGCCACCATTCAAGATTTCCTTGATTTGAAAACAAAAATTGGAAAACAATGTTATGTAGGTTGGCCATATCACCAAGAGGCTAAAATCCTTTATTTCTCAAATTCAAATCAAAAACTCTTCCCACAAGGCTCTGTTGAAAATTCTACCGCTCAAAAAATAACATTTTTAGAACATATCAAAAGAACTAAATTACAGTTATTAAGAAAGGGTATTAATTTATACTATGACGACGATAGCAATAATAATAGTAAAGATGGTGTAAATTATCAAAAACTAGGTTATGAAGATAGTAATACAATTTTAGTTCATGTAAATAAATTGGTCGGTGTAACGACATTAAGTGGTGGTTCGACAAAGAAGCGTTATTCTGACGAAGAAGATGTTTTCCCATTGGAATTAATGGTTGATTATGATAAAGTAGCATCAGATTCAAGATTTGCAGAGGTTGGTGAAATTCCATTCGAAAAGAGATTCCCAGCCGGAAAACAAGTACTTTGCACTAAAAAAGAATACTTTGGTTCAATTGGTACAGTTTTCAATCATTATGACAATCAACTTCAGTTAGAGCTTAGAGTTCCAGTTAAAAAAATTGATATGAATTTTGGTCACGAATGCGCAAAACATAATAACACTTATTATTCAATTCAAGAGGTAGCTAAGCATTGTCAAACTACAGTTTCAGCAATTTCTCAACTTACTGCTGGTCTTTTCATTCTCAAACCAATGGTTGATATTGGTTTAAATTTAAAGTTTACAGGTCGTCAACAACAAGTTTTGGGCTATTGCCGTGGCTTTGAAACTGGTGATGTCAATAAGCAAAATGGTATGACTCATCGTATATGGGATTTCAGCCAAGATGCTTTGAATTTAATTCAAGAGTACTTAACCAAATTCCCAGTTATTCACCAAATTTTACAACTTTTCTTAAAACCATTCGAACAACAAAATACAGGTAAAGGAAGCAAAGCAGTTGATATTACACCATTATTTAAAACCAAAGAAGAAAAAGTTCAATTCCTTAGTGATGTCGAGCAGTTTATTGAAAATAGTGGTATTAGAAAGAAGAGAGTTGTCCCATGTGGTACCAGCGTATTAGGCAGAGAAGATATTTCTAAAATCGAACAACATTATGGTGACATTTCATCAAATACCCAATATAAAATTGTTGAAATTCATTGTACTGCAGATCAAGTAGTGGAACCATCCTCATATGAAAGTGTTATTTCTCTTGAAAGACATCATCAAATGAAATCTATTCAAAACAAAACCGATAATGATATCAAGTCACCATTATTAAAATCATATTCATTCCAAAAGTTTGCCAATACTGGTAAATTTGCACTTGGAGATAGAGTAGTTACAATTTTAGATAAAGGTAATATTCCATTTGGTACTTTTGGTACAGTTATTTCAGTTCAAGATCAAAAGGTTGACGTTTTATTTGATAAAGAATGCTTTAGTGGAACTACCTTAGAGGGCCTCTGCTCTGAAAAGAGAGGCGCTTGTATTTCAAAACTTAGATTATTTAATCTCTCATCACCACCACCATCAAAACCATTACCTGGTAGCTTTTATGATGTTGACCCAGCAGAATATTGGGAGAAATTACAAGAAGGTAAAAAACAACAAACAAATGGCGGTAAAAATAAACAAAATGGAAATCAACATTATCAACAACAACACCAACAACACCAACAACAAACTTTCCAATCATTCCAACCACAACCAATTGAACCACCAAAACCATTAAATTGGCAACAAGCTCAATTATTAAATAGCATAGGTAATAATAATAATAATCAAGCTCAACAACAACAGCATGGTAATCAACAAAAGAATTTACATCCAATGGCCAACACATCCAATAATATTAATTATCAAATGAAAAGAAAACCACAATATATTAAGGGTAATTTTGAAGATCAAGAATATGCATCACTTTCAAAAGAATATCCAAAATTAAATTATAATTTCTATTATGACCAAAATGATCAAAGAAAACAAGCACCTGCTTTTGCTCAACATCAACATCAACATCAACAAAAATCAAAAGATCAACAACAACAACAACCACAGCAACAACAACCACAGCAACAACCACAAAAACCACAAAAACAAAAGAAACCAAAACAAAAGAAAGGTGACCAAGAACAACAACCAGCTGAATCACAACAACCAGTTGAACCAGTTGACCCACAAGTTCTTAGACAACAAAATAAAACAAAGGATAGATTAAATTTAATTTATCAATCAATTGAATCTAACTCATTAGATGAATCACCATCAGCCAATAACAGTACTTCAGATCATAGTCCATCAACTAATCCATCAACAGTTTTACTCTTAAATGAAATGTTTAAAGGTGGTAATAACAAACAAGATGATGGTTCTCTACCAGCTCCACCACCACATCCATATTCAGGTTACCCATATCCACCACCAAGCTATGGATATCCACCACACGGTAATCCACCACCACCACCACCACATATGCCATACTCACCATATATGTATTACCCAGTTCATGGTCCACCACCACATATGCCATATCCACCACCACAATTTTCCCCCGAAGATCTTCAACAACCACAACAAAACGGTCAACAGCCACAACAAAATGGTCAACAACCACACCCAAAGAAAAAGAATCCAAAATTCAATAACAATAATAACCAAAACCAAAATCAACACAAACATCCAAAACAACCACAAAAAAATACCAAAGCACAATACGTACCAAAACAAGCTAATCAACAACAAAAAACACAAGATACTCAACAACAAAAAACACAAGATACTCAACAAGAACAAAAATAAATAAATAAATATACCCAGTTATCTTGAAATTTTTTTTTTTTTTTTTATAACATATTAATATTTTAAAACATTAATATACACATAAATAATTAAAAAGTGATTTTATTGAGTTATTATTTAAATTATGATTATTATAAAATATTTAAAATGTCATAATTTTTTAATTACTGATATAATATTATCTTTAAAGCATATCTTTTCTTGTTACAATTCCAACTACTTCGTTATTTATATCTATTACTGGTAAATGTCTTAAACCCATATTTCTAAAAAGTTTATAAGCTTCAACAAAACTAAAGGTATTATGGATCGTTATACCACTACTATTCATATCTTTACAAAATAGTTAGTATATATTATATTTTTGATTTTAATATTTTAAAATAAATTTATTACTTACAGGGTCTTAAATCTATATATGATTCTGATTCGTAGTAATCAAACTCCATTTCAGAAAGCTGTGGAGGTTTTTTTGATGTTTCTTTTTGAAATTGTTTAAAGTCGAAATTTTCATCGAGATATATTTCTTCACCGGTACCTCTATAGAAGACTCGGTTGAATAATAATACTAGTATATGGTCTCTGAGTATAATACCACGATATAGACGTTGATCACCTGTAATACCCCTGTTAATAACTGGAAAAGCATTATGGTTGTTATTATTTAAAACAGAAATTAAAGTTTTAACTTGACAAACCTCGGGTAATACTACAACATTTTTGCTCATTACATTTGTAATTCTAATGTTATTGGTTGAATGAGGTGGTAGAGTTTGAAGAAAGGGTATATACTTTTGCTCCATTAAATGTTCATATACAGATTCGTTAAAGAAATCACCAACCCATTTTGCTATCATTACAGCTAAAATAATTGGAACCAAATACTGTGTGCCTTCGGTTAGCTCTACCATAATTACTACAATACAAATAGTCATTCTACAATAACCTGCCATCATAGCAGCTGATCCAACTAATGCATAAATACTTGAATCTATACCAGTGAACCAAAGTGATAATAATTGACCAAAGAGTCTACCAAATCCAGCCCCAACCATCATCATTGGTACAAAAAGGCCACCAGCTACCCATAAACCACTTGACCATATTGAAAATACAAAGGAAATTACAGTAAAAACTACTAATGATGGTAATGTAAACATATTTAAAGTTCTAGAATATAATCTTCTTAATGCTTGATCTGGGTTACCAAATAATAATGAACCTAATTCACTGTACATACCATTCTATAAAAAAAAAAATAATAAATATTTGTTTTTAAATTTAATTAAAACTAGTTTTTAATTTTACTTACAGGACAGAAGAATTGTACCATTTCAGTATTTGATTGATCTTCACAAACGCTAGTTTCAATAATAATATTTGATTGATATCTACAGCCAAAAATAAATGAAGCATAGTAACAAATAATCGAAGTGCAAATACTAACAAATAATGCCTATATAAAAATAAATTAATTAGTACTATGTATTTGTTATACATTAAAATAATATTTATAAATTACTTACTTCGAATAATCTTAAAAATGGATTTTGTTTTAATTTTTCTTTACGCCATTTGTTTAAATGAATATTTAAAAATACAAAAGTTGCACCAAAGATACCACCTACTAAACCTAAAATACAAAAACATAAAAGTTCTGAATATCTATAAAGGTAAAGTCTTGAAAAACCAAAGGTTAAGAGACCAGAATCATGCATATCTGGTGAAGAACCCATACCTTGCAACAAGAAATTTGATGTAAATGTTGCAATCATACAGCAAAAAAAGGTTCTCCAGGTTAGTTGACGTGACCAAAATGATGATACTTCTTCTATACTAAATAACACACCTCCTATTGGAGCTCCAAAAGCTGCAGATATACCTGTTGCAGCACCTACTGAAATGAAATCACGTTTATCTCTATCATTTCTATAGTTTAGGAATAAATCAGGATAAAAACCTAAAGTTGATGATTTAAATTGACTAATAGCGGCACCTACTGCTGAACCAATATGAATCATTGGCCCCTCTGGACCAACAAATAAACCTGATGAATATGATAATATTAACGATATAATTTTTCCAAACAATGATCTAAAACCTAGTGATTCTGGTACTTTAACACCATTTAAATATCCTTTAACCTCTGGTATACCACTCGAACTTGCCAATGGTCCTGCTACAATAACCATTAAACATGATAAACATACAAATAATAAATTTATACCTGAAAATGTTAAAAATGCTTCTGACTGTAATCCTTTTGAAACGTCTATATTATTAAAGTTTATAAGTAAAATAATACCACTAAATATAATTTATAAAAGTAATAAAACCTACAATAATTTGTGTAATGAAATTTTAAACCTTGTAATAATTGTACAACTGTTTTAATAATATAAGCTATGCATCCAACAATAATTCCTAAAAATAAACATATTATCCATTTTCCAAATGTTTTTTTTAAATGAAACTAAATTTAAATTAATAAATATATATTTAAAGATTTAATGTTTGTATGTATTTATGTGTGTGTTCTTACTCCTTTTGTGGTTTTTTCAAATTCTGCTCTTTGTAATAAATTATCATTTACTGTAAAATTTAAACTCTGTATATTTTTCATTTTCTGTTTTTCTAAAGGTGACAGTCTATGATTCCTTCTTCTGTGTGTCACTGATGTATTTGTGCTCATTTCTGTCGTTGAGTTTATAATTTCTGGTCTGATTTTCCACGGATCAAATACCATTGATGATTGCCCATCTATATCTTGGACTCTATCAGCCAATGGTTTATTTAATGATGATCCCATTGTTTATATATTTTATTTTTTTAATTTATTTTATAAATATTTGTACAATCTATATTAATATATATATTATTATTATATCCATAAATGTAAAAAATCAAAAAACAAAAAAGACGATATTTAATAAATTGCGTATAACAAAAAAAAATAAAATAAAAAAATAAAAATTGAAATAAAAAAAAAAAAAAAAATTTAAATTTAAAAAAAAAAAAAAAAAAAAAAAAAAACCTTCAAAAAATTTTTTCAAAAAAAAAAAAAAAAAAAAATTTTTCCTGGGGGTAAAGGTATTTCAAAAAAAATTTTTTCTAAAAGAAAAAAAATATTTATGGTTTTTGGAATAAAAGGGTTCCTAAAAACCAGAAAAAAAATTTTTTAATATTTTTTTTTTTTTTTTTTTTTTTATAAAATTTTATTTTATTTTTTTTTATTTTAATTTATTTTTTTAAAAATTTTTTTTTCTAATTTATTTGAGAATTATATATATAATCTCACACATCCACACACAAAAATAAACCTTTCTTTTCCTTTTTTTTTTTTTTTTTTTTTTCAATATATTTTTCGATTACATTTATGGATATATAAATAATAATAATAAAAAAAAAAAAAAAACAAGAATGGAATTTCACTACGAATCTTTTTTTCAATCTAAAGATGAAAACAATAACGACAATAACCACAACAACAACAGTAATAGCAATAACGATAGCGAAAATAGTAGTTTGAATACATTCTCATCAAGTCTTTGGGGATCATTTTCTTCAATAGTAGACACTGTTAAACAAAAAGTAAATATAATTTTAATTTTTTTAACATTTAAACCAAATTTATATTAACCAAAATTTTTTATTTAGTCCGAGGTTATAATAAATACATATAAAGACGACAATCAAGCTACCGATAATAATAGTAGTAATAATGAAAATATAGTGAATAATAACACCAATAATAGCATTAATAATTTATTTTCATCCCCACTTTTAACAAATTTTTCAAAAGTCAAAGATAAAATTTCTGTTGGTTTTAATAATTTTATTCAAGAGTATCCATCAATGAATGAGGATGATGCAGATTTAGAAAAGGATGAGTTTGATATTGATTCCTCATTGGTTGGAGATTCATTTAATTATTTAATTCCAAAAAATAATAAAGAATCTAATAATAGTAACAATAATAGCAATAGTAGTAATAGCAATAATAATAATAATAATAACACTAATAATAACAATCAATCAAATAATACTGAAACCAATACAAACACAACACCAATTAAAAAAGAAGTATCTTATACAATTGACCAAAATGAAATAAATCAATATTTAAAAGATCCAACTCAAGATGGTTATAAAGAATATAAACAAAATTTTATAATTTCAAATCATAAAGAAAACATTGTCAGTTTATTAACAAGTAAAAATCATCACTATAGAAATCTTTATAATCATTTAGTTCCAAATTATATTAATGAAATTGATTTTTGGTGTCGTTATTTCTTTATAGAGTAAGTATGCAATTAAAAAAAAAACTTTACAATTTTTTTATATTAATTTTTAAATTTTTAGGGATATTAAAATAAAATATCATAAATTATTAAATCAAGATGACGATGATGAGGTAAATTGGGATGATAATGATGATGTAGAACAAGAGCAAGAACAAAAAGAACAGGAAAAAGAAGAATCAGAATCAAATACTGAAACCAAAATAGAAGATGAAGAATTAAATAAAGAAAACAATAATTTTGAAAGTACAGAAAAAAATATCGATACAGAAGAATCCGAAGAATCAGAAGAATCAGAAGAACCAGAGCATCCAATACAACAAGAGCAACAAGAACAACAAGAACAACAAGAACAATTAGAAAAATCACAACCAGAACAACCACAACAACCACAACAACCACAATCACAACCAGAGCAATCAAAAGAAACAGAGCAACCAGAACAAATTTTAAAAAACAATGTACATAATGATTATACTATTCAACAACAATCACCACAAGAACAAAGCTTAAGAAGAAAAGTGGGATCAACTGGTGAACTTAATGACTGGGAATTAATGAAATCACAATCATCATCTGAAGATGGTGAAGAATGGTCCAACTGGGAATAGATAAATTAGTACAAGTTATAATTTTTTAAAATGAAAAAAATAATTTAAAATAAAAGTTTTTTATATTAAAATCGTCTTTATAGTTTATTTATTAATTTAATAAATTGGAAAAATATTGGGTCGCAAGAATCAATAAATTTGGTGTCACCCAATTCACAGTTAATTGTTTTTAATTTATAAAAGTTGTATTCTTTGTTATTATTTATAGAAGTTGTTATTTTAGGTAAACCAAAGTTAATTGTTATGGTTTCTAAATTTTGAAAATGTTCTAAATTTATTATTTGGTTGTACCCAAAATTTAAAACTAGCGTCTTGATTTGATTTGAGATTAGTAAGTCGTTGAAATTATAATCTGTTTTATGAATTTTATTGTACTCCAAGTAATCCAAATGCTTCAGTTTCTCTAATGGTAGTGATGAAAGGTCCTTTTTGAATGAGGTTGGGATGTATAGCTGGCGAATTTGGTCAAGATTCGATTCATATGATTCTATTACTTTGTTGATATTGTAACACTTGACAAAGGTGTTTTCATTTTTTAATTTTAATAAATGTTCATATTTATCATTCCTTATTTCCAATAGTTCCACTGATGGAGGTATTGATGTTTCTGATAATTTCTTGTTGAAGATGAACCCAAACAAAACGGTTTTCAAACACCCAGAGCGAGAGAGTGTGTTTTCACCTATTGTATTATTAAAAGAGCCAAAATCGATATAAGATAAAGTTTCTGGAAGTATATTCTCCCCTAAATGGTGACCATCGTTCTGAAATGACCCATTTGGAAATGTTAATGAAGTTAATGCTGGAGGTAAATGGCCTGGTAGTAGTCTTTTATTAAATCCACCATATACGCATGTGTCAATATTTAAGAAGGTTAATGTCTTTAAACTATTGGGAAGAATTGAGCAACCGTCTGAATCTATTATACTATTACACTGAATTTCCAATGAATCTAATTGCTGTGGCAGTATGGGTGCTTCGTTGGTGTTTTTCATAGTTTCGACACCACATTCAATTGAAATATGAAGATGTTTTAAAGTTGATGGTAGTCGAAATGATAACTCTTTAACTTTAATTGAAAGACTGGTTAACGATTCGGGAAATTTGATATCATTAGGCACATTTAAACTATATATACTTTGAATGTTTAATTTTAGCAGACCATTTGGCAAAACATTAGAGTTGATTTTAAACTTTGATGGGTAATAACAGCTGTAAAAAAGCTCTAATAGGGATTCTGGTAATGAAGAATCTGGAGATGCCAATAAACTGGTATTTCCATCATCTGTAATAAAAAGTTTCTTTAGATTTTTGGGTAACATTTCTTTCGAAATTACCAGACCACTCGATTTCATAAGCTTTAGCTCCTTTAATGTGTCCATTGATCCCAAACAATCCTTTAGATCTTCATTAGATACATCCTCTAGACTATTTGTAAACCTTAATGTATGTAAATTACTTGCACATTTAATTGCTTTTAAAATTTTATTATTAAATGGTAGTTCTAATATCTTTATTGAATCTGGTATTACTGATTCTATCTCTTTAAATGATAATATCTTTACTGATTCTATATTTGGGGGTAACTGCTTTAGTTTGATTATATCTAAATCATTATTATTATTATCATTATCATTATCATGATCCCTTGTTATAAAATTACTATTTTTAAAATCTAAATCCACTTGATTTAAATACTCTTTATATTGATGATCTTTTAGACTCTTTAAACATAAAAATCTTCTTGTTGCATAAAAAATATTATACAATTTTAAAAAATATAATATTTTTTTTTTTAAATAAATATTATTAAATATTATTAAAAATAGATCATTATGGTTATATATCATAATTATAAATATGTGATTGATTGATTGTTTGTTTTATTAATATAATTTATTATAATGATTACCGATGTTGCAGTAATATTATTAATTTATATTTTATTTTATATGCGGTAAAAAAAGATATTTTTTTTCAAATAAAAAATTTAAGAAAATATTTTTTTATTAATTTTTTTAAAATTTTTTTTTTCAAAATTTTTACAAATTATTAAAAATAGAAATATTAAACCTAAAAATAAATATTTTTGGTGATTGTATTGATTTTATGATTAGAAATTATGAAACTAAAAAAAAAAAATAATAAATGTTGGATTTTTTTGGAGTGTCGAGTAATGATAATAGTTTAAACTTATTTTTATTAAAATTTTATTTTATTAGATTATTTTTAAAGGTTTTTTAAATAGATCTTTTTTTTGAAAAAAATATTTTTTTATTTTGTTATTGTAATAGTGGTTTTTTTGTAATTTAAATTTTGCACAAAATTGGTTGGCTCTTTAAATGATTTTTTTTTTGGGAATTTTTTTAAATTTTGATGAAATATATTTTTAATTTTTTATTTTTTTTATTTTTTAATATTAATAATGGATAGGCTGCTATCATCTCTTATTAACTTTCGTGTAAATGAAGAGTTAGAAAATAGTAGTAATATTAGTGATAGGTAAGTACAATACAATAAATATAAATAATAGATTAATTAAAAGCATGTTAATTGGTGTTTTCTCTTTTTAACTATTTTTTATAGATTATTATATAAAGTTTGGAATAACAAAATAATAAGAGTTGAAATTTATAAACATATTTTAAAGTTTATTGAACATAGGGTTGTAGTTCTTGATAAATCACTTTATGACCAGTTTACAGATAAATCATATATAACAAGACTTAAATGGTGTAGTGACCTACTACCAGATACAAGTGAATTTCCACCATTTTTGACACATTTATATTTGCACAGTTTTTCTAAAGAGTTAACTCAAACTTTACCAAATACAATTACTACACTTATATTCGGTGATGATTTTAACCAAAATATTCCAGACGGCACATTACCAACTAGTCTCACATCACTTACATTCGGTCGTTATATTTCTAAATTTAACAAAGAATTTGGCACATTACCAAATAGTCTCACAACACTCACATTCGGTTTTTGGTTTAACCAAGAAATTAAATCTGGCTCATTACCAAATAGTCTCACAACCCTCACATTCGGTTTTTATTTTAACCAAGTAATTCTACCCAACTCATTACCAAATAGTCTCACAACACTCACATTCGGTGATAGTTTTAACCAAGTAGTTCCACCCGGATCATTACCAAATAGTCTTACAACACTCACATTTGGTAAATGTTTTAACCAAGTATATCCACCCGGCACATTACCAAATAGTCTCACAACACTCACATTTGGTTCTTCATTTAACCATGTAGTTCTACCCGACACATTACCAAATAGTCTCACAACACTCACATTCGGTGATAGCTTTAACCAAGTAATTCTACCCGGATCATTACCAAATAGTCTCACAACACTCACATTCGGTGATGATTTTAACAAATTAATTCTACCCGGCTCATTACCAAATAGTCTTACAACACTCACATTTGGTCATTATTTTAATAAAGTAGTTCTACCCGACCAATTACCCAACAGTCTCACAACACTCACATTCGGTTTTTATTTTAACCAAGTAGTTACACCCGGCACATTACCAAATAGTCTCACAACACTCACATTCGGTAATCGTTTTAACAAAGTAGTTCTACCCGACCAATTACCCAACAGTCTTACAACACTCACATTTGGTTCTTCATTTAACCAAGTAGTTCTACCCGGCTCATTACCAAACAGTCTCACAACACTCATATTCGATTATCATTTTAACCAAACTATTTCACCTGGCACATTACCAGATAGTCTCACTACACTCATATTCGGTGAAAAATTTAACAAAGTAATTCCACCCGACACATTACCAAATAGTCTCACAACACTCACATTTGGTTATGATTTTAACCAAGTAATTCCATCAACAAATCCATAATCAAAGTTAATTAAAGCCACAACATTTAGATCAACAACAAGTCAATCAAGAACCAGTAAAGCAACAAGTGGAGAAAGAACAACAATCATTTCCATCAAATCAAATATTAACACTACAACCATTAACTTAACAAGAAGAACAAAAACCAATTCTACCACAAGCCCAACAATTTTTTAATTTTAGATTTTAAAAAATTGTATTTCTAGCAAATACTAAATATTAACAACAACAACAGCAATACAATTTAAAATAAAACAAAATAAAATAAAATATTTTAAAAGAAAAAAATTTTATTTATTTTTAATTATAACCAAGATTCTTTAATAAATTTTTTAATTTTTTCAAAAGAAGTTTTCTATATTTGTGTTCGATTTAAATTTATAAAATATTTGAAGTTTTATTTTTAATTAAAAAATTATAAAAATTCAAATTATTTTTTATTTTTTTTTATCATTCACACCAAACCATTAGAAATTTTTTTTTTATACATATACTTCTGGTATATCATTTTAAAGATAACGTTAACAGATCACAAAGAAAATGTTGAGAAAAAACATTCTTTGTGATCTGTTAACGTATCTTTAAAGTGATAGACTAGATTAGCTTTATATAAAAAAGTTGGTGTGGGAAAAAAAAATATTGTGATTGTGCGAAGATTATAAAATAAAAAATAAAAATAAAAAAAATTGGTGAAAAAGAAAAAAAATTAACAAAGTTTTTTTATATGAATTTGGCAGAAAAAGAAAAAACAATAAATTATTGGCAGTTCCTACAATAACCGCAACAACAATTTATCGTGAATACATTACTCAATGATGACATGATTTATAATAGTTTTTTATTTTTTAATATTTATTAATTTTTAACTAAAAAACTGATGATAACAACAAAAAAAATACAATTATTAAATAATTTGTTTTATAATAAATTATGATGAAATAATGTTGATGTCAAAGGTGATTTGTAAGTTATTATTTGTTGATTATTTATTTATTATAATATTCCATACAATAATAAATTTTGGTTACAATATTGTATTGTAATCAAAATTTATTGTTGTATAGAGTATTATAATAAATAAATAAACTTAATATAAATAACTATTTAAGATAAAATAACAAAGTAAATTCCAATTGGTTAACTTCATATTTTACTGTATAAAAGTTTAAATAATAATTTATAAATAAAAAAACTCTTTAAATAAAAAAATTAAAAAAAAAAATGAAAAATTTTATTAACCATTTTTTTATTTCACTACTATCACTGATATAAATTTGTTTGTTTAAAAGATTGTTATTTTCATAATTGATATTTTATTTATTTTGATATATAAATTTAATTTTTTTATAATACATTTTTTTATTTTTAAAAAAATATATTTTAAAAAAAAAAAAAAAAAAAAAAAAAAAATTTAACAAATCTCTAAATATCATTATTTTTAATATATATATTTTAAAACATATATATATTAAAAATAATAATAATTTTTTATTTTAATACTAGAATTTTTTTTCTTTATTTATTTTTTAACCAAAATGTGTTAATTTAATTTTATAAATTCGTCTTGTTGTTATAAATTATTTCTTCAAACGATTTATCTTTCACAAATTTACCAATTTATAAAAAAAAAAAATTTAATTTTCATTTCAATAAAAAACAAACTATATATATTAAAAAGATAAAACTATATTACAAAATGTCAATTATTAGTAAAAATTTATAAATATATAGTTTTAAAATTTATTTAAATATTAACTTTTGTTTTTATTTTATTTTTCATTTTTCATAGAATCTATTTCATCAATGAACCCAGTTAACGGTGCCTTATCTAAATCAATGTTAGGCTCATCTGGAAATGTCTCATTCTCTGATAATGAATCAGCTTGGTTTGGTAATAGCTTAGGTGGCAGTTCATGTGGTTTCAATCCATGCTTTAACCCATGCAGTGGTAACACTAACATTATCAATATTGATATCGATATTGGTCATCGTCGTAGAAGATGTTGTTAATTTTACTCTAAAACTATATAACACATGTATTTAAATAAACAACCCTAAAATGATTTAAATTTAAAATATTTAGTCTTTTTTATTAAAAAATAATCTAACCTCTTCTTTATTAAATAATTGCTGTTTTAATGAAATGCATTTTTCTTGTAATGTATTTCATGGTCGATCTTTTCCCTGCTGTTTACATCACTCAATGATGATATGAATAATAATCATTTTTTTTTTAATATTTTTTAATAATCATTATTTAAATAATTATTATTCCTATTTATTTTAATTCAGTTCTAAATATAATGAATAATTATAATAAATAGGTTTTTTCTTTTTTTTATTATTTTTTTTGTTAAACCATTTTTTTTTCAAATGTAAATATAATGTTTTGGGTATCATTTGAAAGAAAATTAAATAAAAAATCTGAATCAAATAAAAAAACTATTAATCATAAATAAAAAAGGTACATATACATAATCTAAACAAAAATCTATATTTTTTCCTTATTATTATTTTTTATAATAATTTTCAAACAGTTCTTTTTGTTTTTTTTTTTATTTTTTATAATTTATATTTTTTTTTATTTTTTTTTTATTCCAACAACTTTATAATTTTTTTATTTTTTTTAATTTCAATAATAATTTTTTTACAAATAATAATAATTTTTTATAACCTATTAAAAAAAAACATATTTATTAATTATAATTATTACAGGATAATATGGATAACGCAGAAAGAATAAGAATTTTGGTAGGTCTAGAAAATAGATTAGCAAGATTCCAACAACCAAACCAAGGTGCAAGAAGAGCTGAGATCAGGCGTTTACTTGAAATAGAAAGAAGAAGAGAAAGATTCAGACAGCTAAATGAATCTGCCAATGGTAACTCAACTGAGCTCCCACCACCACCACCACCACCACCATCAACCCCACAAAATGAACTTCATAGAGACGAGGATATGAAGTGCATTAAATGTAATCTCGTTATCACCGAGGGATTACATTCCAATTTTGAATGTAAGTGTCAAAAGCTTGCAAAGGCACTTATTGGTTATAGAGCTGGTGTTTTATCAAGTACCCAAAGAAGAAGGGTTAGAATTTTAATTGGTAATATACAATCATTACCAAACTTAAATTCCACTGGTTTTGGAAATAATTCAAACCAAATCAACATTGAAAACTTTTTGGAAAATATTAATAATTATAATAATAATATAAAACAATAATAATAATTATATATATATAGGTTTTTTAAAAGGGAAATATAATAAAAAATAAAAAATTATAATTTAATTTTAACTTTTCTTTCATTTAAATATCTTCTTTTCTTTTCTTTATTTATAATTTTTAATTCCTGAATTTATAAGTTCTGTACTCTAGAAGATGGTTTGGCAAGTGAAGTTGGTTGTACTGCAGATATATTTATATCTCCAAACTGTTATG